GGGAGGGATTCGCCGCTTGGGGACTGGCTGGGTGTCGGTCGGCGGGTGGTGAGCAATTGCCCTGCGCATCATTTGTACATTCCAATCCTTTTATTACTACTGTTATCATTTTATTAGTGTTATCATTATCATTATTAATTTCTTCTTTTCTGTTCTATTAAATCATTCTTATCTCAACCCAGGAGTTTTACTTCTTTTCCTGATTTTCTCCCCCATCCCACTGGATGGGGGGGAGTGAGTGAGCGGCTGCGTGGTGCTGTCCTGGTTTCATCTGGGATGTAGTTAGCTGTCTTCCTAGTAGCTGGTACAGTGCTATGTTTTGAGTTCAGTATGTGAAGAATGTTGATAACACTGATGTTTTCACTTGTTGCTCAGTAGTGTTTAGACTACAGTCAAGGATTTTTCAGCTTCTCATGCCCAGCCAGGGCACCTGACCCAAACTGGCCAACAGTGTATTCCATACCATGTGACGTCCCATCTAGTTTAGGAACTGGGAAGTGGGGGGGGGCAGGGTTATTCGCCGCTTGGGTACTGGCTGGGTGTCGGTCGGCGGGTGGTGAGCGATTGCCCTGTGCATCATTTGTACATTTCAATCCTTTTATTACTACTGTTGTCATTTTATTAGTGTTATCATTATCATTATTAGTCTCTTCTTTTCTGTTCTATTAAATCGTTCTTATCTCAACCCAGGAGTTTTACTTCTTTTCCTGATTTTCTCCCCCATCCCACTGGATGGGGGGGGAGTGAGTGAGCGGCTGCGTGGTGCTTAGTTGCTGGATGGGGTTAAACCACGACAATAGGAAAAGAGCTGCTCCCAGCTTGCGCCGGCCCACGGGCTACAGCCGTTCTTCTGTCAACCCGCGCCGGTAGCTACAAGCAGCATCGAGAGTTGCAACGGGCTGCGGCTTGGTGGGCTAAAATCACCAGACCCTCTTGCCGCTTCTAGGACTGCAACAGTCTAAAAAGCCCCATGGCTTTTACTCGCCTTCAGGTCTCAGTGAATTGTAATACACTACATTGCGATCGTACCTTTCCAGCGTTTTTTAAAATAAGCTGCCAGGTGGAGGAGGCCAGGGCAAGAAAGGGTTTTGAGAGCCCCAGATCTTGTAACTGTTAAAAACTGCAGCAGTGTCTGTAAGGGAATGGCAGAAGACCCGCAAAGGAAGGTTTGTGTTGGGATGAACACGCAGCAGCTCCGCAGGCTTTCTTCGAACCCTCTCCCCCTGCAAGCCCTGCGCCCGTTTGCCTGCTGGTAGCTGCACTCTTGAGGGAGGGAGCAACACACTCGCAAGCAACCGCAGGGACCTTTTCTCCCCATACTCTCTTCTTTATTGTCATCCGGTTCGCTTCCCTCTTCTCTTTCCTGCTCGACAGTAGTTCCCCCTTGGCGGCCGCTGCCAAGCGTTCTTCTTGCCCGCTCACCGCCAGCTCGTCACTTGACTTGTAATCATGACTAAGGAGGACGGAGAGAAGCAACTTGTGCCAGCTTCCCACCTCTCTCGCCCAGCTGCCTGGTCTGGCGCAAGGCCAGTGTCGCAGGAAACAGTATTTGAACAGCAGCTGCCATTGCTCCCAGGGCTGCCAGCCGACAAGGCTGACCTGCGCAGCACCAGGCAGACAGCATCTAATGGCAACGGCCAAAAAGAAACAGGAACGTTTCTTCTTCCCAGCTCTGATGATTTGAATTGATATGGAAGAAAAAGACACGCTTTAAAAATGCTTGCTTGTGCGTGGAGTTTAAGAAAAGGTATGCGCATCTGAAGATAGCGCAGGCAGTTATGAAGGAGAGCTGACTTGGTAAGCAAAATGGACAAAAATGTTCCACAGGCATTTTTCTGTACGCTGAAGCTTGCTTTAAGAGTGTCCCTTAAAAGGTGAGATAAAAATAAAAGCAAGATGGGAGGTAAGTTATTTTAATTAATTCAAATCAAGCTACAAACTTTAGTATATATAGCACCTCCAGAAAATAATCTAGTCCCCATTGTCTGTGTCTGTCTGAGAAGTCATCAACTTTTTGAAGACGCTTAATCTCACAGTGGTTGCCTGAAAAGGAAGAATAACAAATTACTGAATGATCAGTCACTGAAAAATGCAAACTGTCATGAAAAAAAAAAAAAAAAAAAAAGAAAAAAATCTTACCCACAGGTTTCCTCACAGTCCCTAATGCAGTGACACAAATGCACTGGGGAAAACCTACCTGTCTCTTTTGCATTGGGATGCAACTGTCCATGCCAGTGACTCACTGCACACAGACATTGCAGGGATCTCAGAAAGTTGTAAATTTAAAAGAAGTGCAATATCAAAGCATATTGGGAGGAACTTTTAAAATCAAGTTTTCTCGCCATAATTCCAAGTTTCATTATTTTGATGGATTTGAGTTGTACGTTTAGCCTTTTCTTCGCATGGCATGTTACTTTTCTTCTTTGGCTACAGAAGTACAGAAGAAACTGTAGAACTGGTATGCAAAGGCCTTGTATTAAAACCAGGGTAGCTGGTGACGAGGTCCAGAGACAGAATGGTCAAATTGGACTAAGACTGCAGCTACAAGATCACTGAGTGCAGTATGAATCCTGGGAGAATGAAAAGATGCCACGGGGAGGAAAGAGACAGTATCTGTCTCTTGGGTTTTCTTCCTATCTTTTGAAGAGCTGAGAATTTTACTTGACAGCAAAATCCCTCTGGCTAAATGGTATTTATTTTCCCTGTTACTTTTCCATGACTCCACCCCTTAGATAAGAAGCAAATGACTCTCTATCACTCGTCACAGGGCGACGCAGAAGCATACAAACATGTTTATGTGTTTTGGAAAAAAATCCAAAGGGTTAGCTGAAGTATTACTTACCAAACAAGCTTTTAATTTCAGATTCCGGAACATAAAACGGTGGGCCTGAAAGAAAATGGATGAAGCTAATCAGAGAGAAGACACGGGAGGGAGACAAACATTTACACAGCAGCAGGAGAGCCAGCCCCATCACTCTCAGCACCAGGCCGGCAATTGGGCCCCAGTGTGTAGCACCATCTGCAGGAACCAGAAAACACCACGTCCAAGAACTGGTGGCACCTTGGTGGGCCACCAGACAGCTTCAGGTGTTGCTGCTGCATCATCTCCAGGCTGCAGCCAGGGTAGCCACGTTGTCAGAAGTCACAAACATGCCGTGGATGCAACCGCTCTCAGTGCACTGTGTGAATCTGGCCTACAATCTCTTTATACTACAATGGCAGAGTTAAAGCTAAAAGCCAAATAATGTGAGAGGGAGAACAAAGAATTAAACTATTATTGCTTAGCGTAACAAGACCTATTTTTTCAAGCATAATTATGCTGAAGAGCCCAAAAGCAACAAGAAATCTCCTTCTTTGGAGTGTTAATGATTAACAACAACAACAAAAATCTTTTAAAATACCTCAGACTTCAGTATGTAACAAAAGTCATAAAAGGAAAAAACACTTTATGATTTTACAGAATTTCACCTCTTCCAAGTATAGTCAGACCATGGTAGTGGCTGGGAGAGAGGCACAAGATGGGCAACACGTTGGGTTGCAAGTATTGAGTAAACAAAGCGAAGCCAATGTTCTTGGGAGTGCTTCAAGCTCCCTAGGCCAGACAGGATGTTACTCTAAGCATTCGCTCTTCCAGCTTCATTGTCATAGCCACACTTCCAGTTTAATTTCATTGTTAATATACCATGTCTGTCCTCCACTTACCCTTAGCATCACTGAATGCTAGAGAGAAAGCAAATTTAGTCTCAAGCTTGGTCAACATCTAAAATTTTTAACACACAGTTGTATTGGTGTGACCAGCTGACAAAGCTATGCTGATAAAAAACCTGGGGAAGATACTAATGTATCTACCACATCTATATACGATTTGTATTAAAGCGCGCAAAATCAAAACATGAACAGTGCAAAGTTCTCACCTTTGTGTTTGTTTGGATCATATGAAACCGTAACGAGGAGATAAGAAGAATTTTTCTCCATTAGGGTGATCATCAAACTGACATAGCTAAAAGGAGAAAGTTATACTTTATTATTTTGGAACTGTACAAACATTTGAGCATAGCATTCAAAATACTCAACGAAAGTGGTAACGTATTTCTCTGCAGAGACAACTTGAACTGAACTGCGCAGAAACTAAGCAAAGCTTAGGCTGAATTTCACGAGCATGAAATTCATGCTACACGTGAAACACCTCAAAGGTTACTGTTTACTCCTCATAAACTAGCTTTTTTTTTTTTTTTTGCATATTCATCTCAACACTAACAGACAAAACATAGTATTCATCTGCCACAGTCTAGAATACAGCACACAATACAGTACTGGTCTTTTAAAATTATTGTGAATTCAAGATTATGTATCTAATTAAAAAATCCTGGGGGTAGGGTCAAACTACGTTTGGGTTAGCTATAGGCAAGAACGAAAAATTGGAGTAAAGGGAAGTGAGGGAAAAAAGAACAGAGAGGAGAAGCAGATGGGGTGAAAAGGGAATAATAAAATTCAGATGAGACTTGCAGCTCTGCTTCTGTTGGGTTGGAACAAACCACATATTTTCCCACCAAGAGGCAGGGCGGCTTCCTGAAGGAAGCTCACAAATGTAGAGTACAGCACTCTGCGACTGCAGCTGATGCTTGCGGTAGAGAAGAACTTGTGTAGGTTAGTCTTTTAAATGAAAGAGGACTCATCGACAAGTGGCAGGAGGAAAAACGTGTCACTGCATACATGAGAGAAAAGCCAATAACAACACAGATTTACTAACCGTTGTCTGTCGCATGGATTCACAGCTACTAGAGATCCTCTGTCCCAAACCCCATCAAACTTGCCAACTATTGAGCTAAAGGGAGATGAGCAAAAGGCTTAAAAATACTAAAAAGGCACCTTCATCTTTATTCAGATACTTCTGTGAAGTCACAAGGATTCTACAGCTAGCTCTGCAGATTCCCCACTACCTTTTTGTTACAGTCCAGCATTTTCATGATCCAAAACAATATCACCTGGAATCCAAGAAACCTCCCCAGTACATGGGTCCACCGTGATAGCAAAGAAGTGCTGGAACTGCTCAGCATTTCCCCATCATTAGGGGATGCTGAGACAAGGCGGGGAGGAAGGAAAGCATCTTAAACACATTTGGGCTGCATTAAAACAAGGGCTGCAAGTCTGGGTTTTCGGCAATCATACACGGCAGTGACCCTTGAGGCAGCACTAACATGCACTCAGCACGTCAATAGTTCTCGGCCACCTTCTAAAACCCACACATGATTTCAAATGCAGGTTAAGGAAGGTGCCTTGTTGCTTTACTATCATTACACTATCAGTACACCCAGTAATTTTTAGACACGTCAACTCCCAGCTACATGCCCAGGACAGTTAGCTTCAGCTTGCAATTTGTTCAATGTTAGAAAAGCTAAGTTACACTGCCGCTTGCCTCAGTCTAACACTGCCACAGACATTATTTTTGCTCCTGGGTATGCTGGCAGATGGCTTCAGTGACCTCCCAAAACCTGCAAATGGCCAGACTATTGGGAAGTGCCTTTGTGGTAAGAGCAGTCAGGGTGATACTAGAGATGAGGATATGTGAGGGGGAAGGAAGAGCCTTGTTTCTGGTAATTATTAAAACAGGAGTTTAGAGAATAAGGTAGTAGTAACATAAATTGCATAATTTTAAAGAAAGTCTGAAATAAGTTCACTTAGCAAGAAAAATATGGTATGGAATTGTGCAATACCTTTCTGCCTACTGGGAGGGTGTCAGAGTCCAATTGCATCATCTCTTTCTTCACTTCTGTACTGGTTTTGGCTGGGGTAGAGTTGTATTTCTTCACAGTAGCTAGAATGGGGCTATGTTTTGGATTTGTGCTGAAAATAGTGTTGATAACACACTGATGTTTTCGTTACTGCTGAGCAGTGCTTACACGGTGTCAAGGCCTTTTCTGCTTCTCACACCCTGCAACCAGTGAGGAGGCTGGGGGTGCACAAGGCGTTGGGAGGGGACACAGCTGGGACAGCTGATCCCAGCTGACCAAAGGGATATTCCAGACCATATGACGTCATGCTCAGCAATAAAATTGGGTTGGAGGTTGGGGGGGGGGGGGGGGGGGCCCCGGGGGGGGCGGCGGG